GGTAGCATCTTTGGCTTCACGTCTCAATGTGCACTCTCGATTTCCACTTCTCATATTCAGCTTGAATGTTGAGCTGGCTGTCCTGCCTTCAGGCAACAAATTTGCTGCAATTCCTGTCCATGCTACACAGATAATACGCTTGTGCTGGCCCTTCAACGTATGATATAAGGCGTTGTAGAGATAGGTTTTTCCACTGCCTCCAGGACCATCGACAAAGTGTAGTTTAGACGCACTCAAACCAAAAGAAGCTAGAATGCTGTCAGCCGTTGACTTCTGTTGCTGATTGAGGCACTGATACATTTCCGCGCCTTTGTTTTCGTGAAAAGCGTAGTCAGTTTGGTCCTCTAGGACAGGTCGAGTATGTGTAGGTGGAGTGATGCTGACAGAAAGGTCGTAACGTAGAATTTGCAGTCTATCGTACAGATCGTAGTATGCGAGCGCTTCTGCATCAGATGCTATAGCTCCTCTATGACTAAAGTCTTCAGTCATATCAGCCTTGAAGCGATCATATAAGTGCCTTGGATCAGAAATTTCACAGAACGCCGCAGGCATCTGAAATTGGGTAGCCTCTTCCAAACAGGTCTCGTAGTGGGAATCGTCACGCAAAAATCCCAAAGCTCTCGCTGCATCTAGAAATGTGGAATGCACATTTCCTTCGACAGTGCGAAGGTCCTCAAAAGAATGCATGTTCTTTCTATGAAGGAGTAAGATACGTAAAGCGAATCTCTCTGGTTCTGTGGGAGATACCATATACATGCGACCAATCTGGCGAGTTCCCCTTCCCCTTCTTTTCCATTTACGTGCTTTCACAAAGGTGAAGTGCTCAGGGAGCTGATGGTAGCAAAGATTGCGAGGATCTACGCCATCAGGTACAGCGGTGTTTTCGTTTTTCATGAGCTCGTATTCGATGTTTAGCTTGAACCAAGCTGTTAACATGGAGTCTTTGGTTGCCTCGCGTTCTGCCGCTTCTCTTTCTCCTCCTGATTGAAAGGTCACTGATTGGAAGTTGGGGAGGTGTACGGGCAGACGGTAGACAGTGGCGGATTTGAACTGGCATCCAAACATGAAAATGTGATGGAGTGCTTCCGGTGAGCATACGTAACGAGCGTCCAGGTGAGCTCTTATCTCGTCAGATCGTCGGTTGGAATCTTGCTGCAATAGTCGTAAAGAAGCTCTATCCGGACCTTTGTATACGTACTTATAGAGGTACTTGACTGCTTGTACGTAACCGCAAATCTCAAGATTTATGTGTGCGTTCAAAAGCAGCAACAGATAACGATTATAAGGCACAACGTGCCTGTTGTCGAATGTTTCGTCTCTAATCGTTACTGTGCGGCCGTCATTAATTCTTTTATAGTTGGGGTAACCGTTTACATCAACGTCGGTTGTGTCGCGAAACTCCTTAGGAAACCGCTTGGAGCACTCCCCATTCAACATGCACGGTGCATTCATATTGGATGTTCCACACTTACGGTGGATCATGTTCCTTGCTACTATGCTGAGAAGACGGGGGTTATCTGTGGCACTTGGAAGACACGCTTGAACTGCTGCATCGACATCCTCGCTGGTCTTCGGCTTT